AGAAGAAGAAGAAGAAGAAGGAAGAGAGAGAGAGAGAGAGAGAGAGAGAGAGAGAGATCAATGTGCCCTCACACCCAGAGAGTGGCAGATAGAATAACAGAGCTTAGTAAAAAGGTGAACAGAACTATACACTTCCCACCGGCAGGCCACAGGACTGGGGCTCAGGTTGACAAGAGCCAGGGTCCCCATCACGTGTCCTAGGATTCTTCCATCTGCTCAAGGATCATTTCCTCCACGCCATTCTCCTTGATGTGGTGCACGATGCGCCAGAACCGGCCCATGGAGTCCTGGTACTGGCTGCCAGGGTGGCGTGTCCACAGCACAGGCATTGTGCTCACGTTCAGCTGGGAGGTGGTGAGTGGGATATGCCCACTGGGGATGTCTTCCTGGCGCAACCGTACTTGCAGGTTACCTCCTGTCTCCATGACGTGATGCAGCCATGTGCGCTGCTTCTCGTCCTGGTACACCGAGGGCCATCGGATCCTCAGGCAGAGGGGGTGCGAGATGAGGTGCACCTTCAAAGGGGGCTCGGCCATGACCCTTCCGTGGTACAAGGAGCAATAGCCACAGCTTCTCAGAGCCTTTCGCTACTTCGGTCCTGGAATCGAAAGACAGGGGATTGGGTCTCCAAACGCATTTTACCTCTGCTTTAACTTTATGGTTTTTACGGTTGTGTTTGTGGTTGCCTTTGGTTCAAATTTATAAATCTCAACTTTTCTTTCTTTTTTAGCTTTAGATCTCTCTTCTAGAACAAACTGTACTAAATGTACTTAATGTAAAATATGACTCTGTGAAGGCAACATGGTCCTACGGCATTTTAAAAACATTTTTTAAATGACAGTTGATATAGAACATTAGGTTCATTTTAGGGGTACACCCCAATGATTAGACGTAAAATAATGAACTAAGAAATCATGCAATTAATCTCATACCCATCTGACACCATACAGTTATTATAATATTATTAGAGTCTCAGTGCACAAAATTTATGCACTCAGGGGGATCCCTCAGCCAATCCTGCAGCCTCTCCCAGTCCAGGACCTGTTGACGGATGTCCAACTGAAGCCATATGCCCGCTTTAGTGCTGCTGTGGATGCTCCCACCACCCCCATGTGCTCGAGCCTGGCTTTTGGCTGAGTGGCGCTCCCGCTGAGGGAGTACACTGACCACTGGTGGACAGCATCTGCCATGAGCATCTGCCCCCGTTGGTCAGTGCGTGTCATAGCATCCAGTTGTTCTGCTGTTTTGTGGATTTGCATATTAGCCATTTTATTTTATTGGATTGACTCAATGCTCTACTTTACCGTGCCATGACTATTCTTTCTTTTTTTTTCATATAGTTTTACTGATTTCAGAGAAGAAAGGCGAGGGAGAGAGAGAGAGTGAGAAAGATCAATGATGACAGAGAATCACGGATTGGTTGCATCCTGCATGCCCCTTACTGGGGATCAAGACTGTAACCCGGGCATGTGGCATGACTGGGAATCGAATCCACAACTCCTGGTTTCTAGGTTTAAGCTAAACAACTGAGCCATGCCAGCCGGACTCTTTTCTTTTCTCTTCTTCTCTTTCTTTTCTTTTCTTTTCTTTTCTTTTCTTTTCTTTTCTTTTCTTTTTTTATTAATTAAAACTTTGTAGTTGGTTCAACTTTTCTTTTTGTCCTGCCATCACCACCTCCTTTCTGATCATGTCAGAGGAAACTCACAAACCATAGAATAAACCACCCCATGCAAATAATATGCTTTACCTTTAACAGCTGGCAGAAGAACAAAGCTCAATTCAGTGTCCAGGTTGGCTTCTTAACAGCGGTCTTGCTTCTCAGGTGCTGGTGAGAGAGGGAAGACCAAAATATTCAGGGACAGACAGATACCTGGGATAGCTGATAAGACAAACAGGAAGCAAAGAGACAGGTGAAACAACAAGTAGGATTACTGAGGTCTCATCACATCACTTATAAAATGATCTCTCCCTTCCCCAAACCTCAGCCATTCCCTTGGCAACAGCTGTAGACTTTTGCTGCTGAACTCACTTCAGTCCACAAAGTCCAAATTCCTCCCTCAGATTAGACTCCATCCCCAATCCTTCCTCCTCCTCCTCCCATCCATGTTTTTCTTACCTGTTCTTCTTGCTCTGTAGGCAAAACACCGTTCTTCGCTTCTTTTCTCTGTGACCGGTCTCTGCTTCCCCCTGTCACCTGCAGAAGAAAGAAAATGGCCATGATACACCTGTTCCAGGGAGTCCATGTACCAGGAATGTGTCCAGAAAAACAAGGTTCCCCTGACTCACACCCCAGAAACCAATTCCGTGAGACAGGTGGTGGTGAGGAGGGAAAGAGTTTTATTCAGGTGCAGGCAACCTGAGAAGATGGAGGAAGCTCGTCGCAAAACCCATCTGCACATCTCAGTGCAGGCAGAGGCTTTTATAAGGAGGGAGAGGCCAAACAGAGCAAAGAGGTCAGGGGGTGGGGCTTGAGAAGTTCTCTACACGATGACAGGCACAGTCCAATCTGATAAGGATCTTGCAAGTGGTCAGGTGACGGTCCAGTGTGTGTCATACTAGACTTTATCCTCCTGGTTTCTAAGGTTGAAGGTCATCAAATCTCCCAGATCTGGAAAGGTTAGAGTTCATATCTTGTAAAGTTAGTTCCTAGGATTCTTATACAAACATGCTGTTTATCTACATGATTCATTTTAGTCATAGTCTGCATGTACAGGAACAATGTGGAAAGAATGGTGAGGTGAGTTGTAATTCCCATGAATTACATGAATTCATGTAATTACTGTGACATGAATGCTGAGATGCTTCATTCTTCTTCAAGCCGTTTCCACCCTTTGAAATGGTCAACTAGGCCCTAGACGGTTTGGCTCCATGGATAGAGTGTCGGCCTGTCAACTGAAGGGTCCCTGGTTTGATTCTCAGTCAAGGGCACATGACCAGGTTTTGCACTTGATCCCCAGTGAGGGACTTGCAGGAGGCAGCCTATCCATGATTCTCTCCTCATGGATGTTTCTCTCTCCCTCTCCCTTCCTCTCTGATATCAATGAAAATGTATTTGAAAAAAAAGGCCAAGGCTCTATCCCCTGAGCCAAACCAGTTCCGGCGCTAGGTCGTCTTTAAATGACTACCCACCTGGTATGTGATACCAAAAATATATATATACTATTTTAAAACAATGTGCATTTAATCTGAACGCAACACTTGCTTAATATTTTTTAAATGTTTTTATTGACACAGAGAGGAAGGAAAAGCAAGAGGGAGAGAAACATCCATGATGAGAGAGAATCACGGATCGGCTGCCTCCCACACGCCCCCTACTGGCGATCGAGCCCTCAACCCGGGCATGTGCCCTTTAGCGGGAATCGAACCGTGACCCCCTGGTTGATAGGTCCAGACTCAGTCACTGAACCATGCCGGCTGGGCCCGCAGTGCAATATTTGAATATGAAAAACACAACTTAGAAACACATCTCTCACGCTCCCCAGTACTAAGCCTTAAAGGTCTCAATTTGCATTTTCAAACACTTTCCTGAAAGAGGAGAATTTAATCAGCAGTCAGTGATCTCTTTAATGCTACCATGGATGCCCTGAAATTGATTTCTAGGGCTCCCTCCAGCTCCCTCTACAGCTGCCACTCTCTGGTCCGATGCTAGATGAATTTTTTGATAGCTGGGCTTTGTTTGGGGCTGTTTAGTGCCAAATACAAAAAACCAAATCCATCCAGAGCTTGAGGGTAAGCCATATACAGAGCCGACTGGAGCCTTCAGGAGACTAGTCCTGGCATCCCTCATAATTCCTCAAAGGAAAGAGATGATCAGCATAAAACACCCATAATCCCCCAAACATTCGTTCTCTTTTTGGAGAGGGTAGTATTGGTTGATGAACCTCAGGAAATCAAACAATGAGAACGCTGGTCATTGAAATGAAAATTATTTCCAGTGATGTCTTTGAGCCTTGTCTACTGGGGCTGGGCAAATATTTTCAGGGTTAAGGTCTTTTTCTTTCTCTTTCTCTGTTTGATATATTTTTATTCGAGGTCCGGTGCACGAATTCGAGCACCAGTGTGGTGCCTTGGCCTGGCCTATGGGAAAAGGCCGAAACTCTCTCTCTGACATCCCCTGAGGGGTCCCAGATTGCCAGAGGGTACAGGCCAGGCCAAGGCACCCCACTGGTCCCCCATTAGGTCTGGGGAGGGATATAGGAGGTTGCCCAGCCGCAGAGGGACCTTGAGAGGGCTCCAGGGCGTGTCCAGCCCTTCTCACTCAGTCCCCATCAGCCAGACCCCAGCAGCAAGCTGACCTTCAAGTCTGAATGTCTTGTCCCTGGTGGTCAATGCATGTCATAGTGAGCAGTTGAGCAACCTTAGTATATCATTTGCATATTATGCTTTGATTGGTTGAACAGATGACCGGTCGACTGGAAACTTTATGTAGGATTGATTTCATACAGGAAGGAAGCGAGAAACATCAACAATGAGAGAGAATCATACATCGGGTGCCTTCTGCATGCCCCCTACTGGGGATCGAGCCCACAACCAGAGCATGTGCCCTTGACCAGAATCAAACCTGGGACCTTCCTAGTCCACAGTGCAACCCTCTATCCACTGAGCCAAACGAGCTAGGGCTATTGGTTAAGTCATGTCTGTACCCTGACCAGGAATCGAACCATGACATCCGGGTTCATAGGTAGTCCGTCAAATACTGAGAAACACCAGCTTAGCTAAAAAAGCTTTTATTGATTTGAGAGAGAGGGTGAGAGACAGAGAGAGACAGAGAGTCAGAGCGACAGAGAGAAACGTGAAGAAGAAGAAAAACAAGAAGAAGAACAAGAAGAGAGAGAGAGAAAGAGAGAGAGAGAGAGACATCAATATCCCCTCAAACCCAGGGGGTGGCAGATAGAATAACAGAGCTTATTAAAAAGGTGAACAGAACTATACACGTCCCACCGGCAGGCCAGCAGGACTGGGGCTCAGATTGACAAGATCCAGGGACACCATCACATGTCCTACGAGTGTTGCATCAGCTCAAGGATCATTTCCTCCACTCCATTCTGCATCAGCTCAAGGATCATTTCCTCCACGCCATTCTCCTTGACGTGGTGCACGATGCTCCAGAACCGGCACATGGGATCCACGTACTGGCCACAAGGGTGGAGCGTCCACATGGTGATATAGGTCAGAGGGCTGGTGTTGAGTGAGATATGCCAACTGGGGATGTCTTCCTGGCGCAACTGTACTTGCAGGACACCTCCTGTCTCCATGACGTGATGCAGCCACGTGCGCTGGTCTTCGTCCTCATACACCGAGTGCCCACGGAGCATCAGGCAGATGGGGTGCAAGATGAGGTGCACCTTCGACGGGAGCTTGGCCATGACCCCTCCGTGGTCCAAGGAGCAACAGCCACAGCTTCTCAGAGCCTCTCGCTACTTCGATCCTGGTATTGAAAGACAGGGGATCGGGTCTCCAAAGGCATTTGACCTTGGCTTTTATCTTTCTGGTTTTTACAATTGCGTTTGTGGTTGCCTCTGGTTTATTTTGCAAATTTATAAATCTCAACTTTTCTTTCTTTTTAGCTTTAGATCTCTCACCGAGAACAAACTGTACAAAACGTATTTGGAATAAAATATGACTCTGTGAAGGTACAAATTCCTCACTCAGATTAGACTCCATCCCCAATGCTTGCTCCTCCTCCTCCCATCCATCATTTTCTTACCTGTTCTTCTTGCTCTGAAGGCAAAGCACCGTTTTTCAATCCTTTCCTCTGGGACCGGTCTCTGCTTCCTCCTGTCAACTGCAGAAGAAAGAAAATGGCCAGGAAACAGCTGTTCCAGGAATTCCATGTATCAGTAATGTGTCCAGTAAAACAAGGTTCCCCTGACTCACACCACAGAAACCAGTCCCTTGAGACAGGTGGTGGTGAGGAAGGAAAAAGGTTTATTCAGGTGCCAGCAACCTGAGAACATGGGGGAAGATCATCCCAAAACCCATCTGCACATCTCAGTGCAGGCAGCGGCTTTTATAAGGAGGGAGAGGCCAAACAGAGCAAAGATGTCAGGGGGCGGGGCTTGAGAAGTTTTCTACATGCTGACAGGCAGAGTCCAATCTGATCAGGATCTTGCAAGTTGTCAGGTGACGGTCCAGTGTTCGTCATCCTAGACTATGTCCTCCTGTTTCCAAGGTTGAAGGTCATCAAATCTCCCAGAACTGGGAAGGTCAGAGTTCATATCTTGTAAAATTAGTTCCTAGGATTCTTATACAAACAGGCTGTTTACCTACAAGCTTCATCATTAGTCAGAGATGCATGTACAGGAACAATGTGGAAAGAATGGTGAGGTGAGTTGTAATTCCCATGTATTACATGAATTCATGTAATTACTGTGACATGAATGCTGAGATGCTTCGTTCTTCTTCAAGGCATTTCCACCCTTTGTAAAAGTCAAATAGGTGCTAGCCGATTAGGCTCAGTGGATAGTGTTGGCCTTCAAACTGAAGGGTACTGGGTTTGATTCCCAGTCAAGGGCACATGCCCAGGTTGTGGGCTTGATCCCCAGTGAGGGACTTGCAGGAGGCGGCCGATCCATGATTCTCTCATCATGGATGTTTCTAACTCTCTCCCTCTCCCTTCCTCTCTGAAATCAATGAAAATATATTTGAAAATAAAGGCCGACACTCTATCCACTGAGCCAAACCTGTTTGGGAGCTAGGTTGTCTTTAAATGACTACCCACCTAGTATGTTAAACCAAAAAAAAAAAAACTATTTTAAAACAATGTGCATTTAATCTGAATGCAACAATTGATGAATATTTTTTAAATGATTTTATTGACTCAGAGAGGACGGGAAATTGAGAGGGAGAGAAACATCCATGATGAGAGTGAATCACAGATCAGCCGCCTCCTGCTCGCCACCTACTGGCGATCGAACCCAAAACCCGGGCATGTGCACTGGACTGGGAATCGAACCGTGACCTCCTGTTTGATAGGTCGATGCTCAACCACTGAGTCACGACGGCTGGGCCGGAAGTGCAATATTTTGAATATGAGAAAGCAACTTGGAAACAAGTCCCTCATGCTCCCCAGTCCTCAGCCTTAAAGGTCTCAATGTGCATTTGCATACACTTTCCTGCAAGAGGAGAATTTAATCAGCAGTCAGTGATCTCTTTAATGCAACCATGGATGCCCTGAAATTGATTTCTGGGGATCACCCTGGCTCCCTCTCCAGCCGCCTCTCTCTGGTACGATGCTAGATGAACTTTATGATTGCTGGGCCTTGTTTGGGGTTGTTTAGTGCTAAACACAATTAAAACCCAAATGCATCCAGAGCTAGACGCTAAAGCCACACACAGAGCCGGCTCTAGCCTTCAGGAGATGAGCCCTGGCATCCCTGGTAATTCTTCAAAGGAAAGAGATGGTCAGCATAAAACACCCCTAATCCCCCAAACATTCATTCTCTTTTTGGAGAGGGTAGTATTGGTTGATGAACCTCAGGATATCAAGCAATGAGAACGCTGGTCATTGAAATGAAAACTATTTCCAGTGATGTCTTCGAGCCTTGTCTACTGGGGCTGGGCTAATATTTTCAAGCTTACTATCTTTTTCTTTGTCTTTTTCTCTTTAATATATTTTTACTAGAGTCCCGGTGCACGAATTCATGCACCAGTGTGGTGCCTCGGCCTGGCCTGCAGGGATCGACCTAAATTGGCTCTCTGACATCCCCCGAGGGGTCCCAGATTGCGAGAGAGCACAGGCCAGGCCAAGGGACCACACCGGTGCCTGATAGGGGCTGGAGTGGGATGTGGGAGGTTGGCCAACTGGGGCAGGACCATGGGAGGGCTCCAGGGTGTGTCCAGCATGTCTCACTCAGTCCCGATAAGCCAGAACCCAGCAGCAAGCTGACCTACCAGTCTGAATGTCTTGTCCCTGGTGGTCAATGCATGTCATAGTGAGCAGTTGAGAAAACTTAGTATATCATTTGCATATTATGCTTTAATTGGTTGAACAGATGACCAGTCAACTGTATACTTAGCATATTACGCTTTTATTATACAGGATTGATTTCATACAGGAAGGGAGCAAGAATCATCAATGATCAGAGAGAATCATACATCGGGTGCCTCCTGCACGCCCCCTACTGGGGATCGAGCCCACAACCAGAGCATGTGCCCTTGACCAGAATTGAACATGGGACCTTCCAGAGTCCACAGTCCAACCCTCTATCCACTGAACCAAACATGCTAAGGCTCATTGGTTAATTCTTGTCTGTGCCCTGACCAGGAATCGAACCGTGACCTCCGGGTCATAGGTCGTTCCTCAACCACTGAGAAACACCAGCTTGGCTCAAAATGCTTTTATTGATTTGAGAGAAGAAGAGAGACAGAGAGAGAAAGAAATGATAGGAGGAGA